GTAAAAACTGGAGCAGCTGCTGTTTGAACTACTGCTCAAAAAAAAAAACCTGCAAGAAAAATCAAACTAAGCTTAGTGGGTCAGAAACAAAAAAACTTATTTAACCCAATGTTCTTTCTGTGTCAAAAACACAGCAGATACCCAGGTCAGGACATTTGTACATAATGCTGGCCCCTCATCCAGACAACTCTGGCTCAAGGATTTTTTATTAAGAGGCAGGGAATTTAACAACCCTCAAGATTTACTCTTCAATAAATTTGCACAGTAGCTTTTTGATCCCATATAAAGAACAGCCCTAACACAATACTGGATAAGGCTATCACAATCCAAATAGAAAAACTAAATTAAAAAATAATCTCCCTGAAGATGGGTCACCTTTTAGATAAGGTTTGTAAATACTGTAAAATTTTTAAGAAAGTGGTATATTCTGTATGACTTGGATAGCAAAAAATTAACTGGAAAAACATCTAATAAATGTGTAGTAAATACAAATGACAGATGTAAAAAAACCTGTCTATTGCTACTACTTTTTAAAAATTCCTCTGAACAGTTTCTGTTTTCTTCTAGTAAGTCACCAGTCTTACTTCTATTAATTTCTATTTTTTAAAAAAACAGAAAGAAAATAAAAATAAAAAATTTTAACAAACTATCTTGAATCAATCCTTACTGCATAAAACTCAAATTGGCAGTTTAGGCTAGGTACAAATAAGCTAAAACAGCTACTGTCACCAAAATAAGCAGTGTAACCTTCTGCTCCTCCCTGAACTCCTTAAATACCCAAAGATGGAAGGAATAGGAAAACTGCAGGTTTTGTTTGTCAAGTTTTCCAATCATTTTCACACCTCATTGCTAGACAGGTAAATGTGCTAGGCACAAAAAAAGCAGGCAGAACAGCGAGCAGCTTTTATTTCCTGCTCTTATGAAAATGTGATGTAAACTTAGAACAAATGTACAAACTGTGACTGAGCCGTAACTGCCCACAAAAAGGCAAAAGGCAGGGGTGGGGTACTGGGGGCGCACACAACAAAAAAACCCAAACAAGGCAAAATGTCAAGCCATCTAAGCACACTGTCCAACAGACACCAGAGCACACTAGAGGAGAAAAGAGGAATATGTGACTTCCAACAACGTCAAGCCATTACAGGCTCAGGTCCTAGCAGGTAATTTCAACTCTGACAAAGTCCTTCCCTTCTCATCAACAAGATTTCTATGGGGAACTTATTCTCTGCATGCCCCCTGTCAAAACAATCAACTCTGCAAGGGCACCAGCTCCTATCTTAGTGGGAAATGCTCAAAATACAGTTTCAGTTACTGATACGTAGAGATGCACATGTGAAAGTTATACCTGCAGACAGACACAGCTGTACTTCAGGAGCTTAAACCCAGATGTCTCCAAACTCAGATGGCCTCACACTGCCCTCTTTTTTTTATTATCCTTTAATTGATGAACCGGGGCTCTTCAGACCCTAATTTACACAGAGGATATACAGATGCTTTTAACCCCAGACAACTGCAAAGTCAATGAATATCTGCACTAATCCTATGGGATAGAGACAATCTTCACCTCTTACATGTCCAACTTCACTGTTGCATGGGAAAGGCAAAAGCAACAGAGGTTACCCCAGAGATTGGTTAAATCACAGGGACAAGGACTTTCTCCATAGTTCATGGGACTTCTACAGCTTTAGTCACTAGGAGGTGACTATTAAACAGCTACTGTCTTTTGGGTACTTTCAGAGACATGAGACACATATAGAAATTTTGGCAGTCTGTTAACCTTACAAGCAACATATTCTTAGAAGGAAGGCAAGGTCTGCATTTGTGCCACAATAGCCAGAATTTCCAGGTTTGATTACTGAGCAAGGGTGCAATTTCCCTTTCCTTCTAACTGTCAGTCTGTGTCCTCACAATAAACACTGAGCAGCATCAGGAATGTTTGTTGCTTTCTCCTGCTTTTCTGTGGTCCACACCCACTGCTATAACAACCAAACCGTACACGAACATTTTGGAAGAAGGAAAAGAAACCCCTTTTCACTAGAAAGTGTTCAATGCCATCAGTGGCAAACCCAAGTATGACTCCTAATATCAATGCCAGAATTCTGTCTTGCAAAAGGAAAAAGAGACTATCCTCACCCCACAAGGAAAATCTGCTCTCCAAGATCCCTCTGGATATGACAGTACTGAACTTGACAATAGCATTCAGCTGTCAGGAAGAAAGCAAGCACAGTTACACCTAGAAAAAAAACACATCAAATGACATCTTTTAGCACAATGAGTTAGTATCTTCAGAGACCACAAATACCAGTAACAGTTCCTCAACATTATCATCCAATGTCCTGCTTCCAAACTCCTTCATCTTCTTTAAGTGGCAAAAATTCAAGTCTCATTTCTGCTCTATTCTTTACTCTTTCATTCCCTTTTTAAGGGAGTATCTGCAAACACATTTTAACTTTCAAGACTGTTCCAAGTCTTAAATGTTCTAGTTTTATACTAGCCACACCAGTTTAATGTTTCTCCTGAACAATCAATCCTTCTGATACAGACAAAAAGGTATCTAGGTACTTTTCCCATCACACTAAAATACATCCTAATATTAAAATCACATTAGCTATGAAAAGAAATCAGTGACTGCTAAACATCTGAAGGGGTACAACATGAAGGATTTCATCACTAAACACCTCCCTACTTTACTTTTTCTGAGAGAATGCAGTGTAATAACTCACTCATATCCAGACAATTAATTCTGTGTATTTTTGTTCTCTGTTGTTAAGAGTTCAATTAATTCTTTCCCACTGTAAGGAGGTGCACGAATAAATTCAGCTAAGATTTTATGAAATCAGAAGAAGACAAAGCTAAAAACTTATTAGACAAAATACAGTGTGCTCTCACAGATCATAGTGCAAATACATTCTGGGCTACTTCAAGAGCACAAGTGGCTCTGTGGATGTTGTTATCCTTCTTTATGTAGTGTCTGCAATGGCGTCTAGGACACCACTTCCAGTTTGGTTCCCACAGTTCTCCCTTTCCTCAGTTCACGAAGGCACAAGCTGGAGAGAGGCCACAGCTACCAGGATAGTCTGTAGTCTAAAGCAAATTATCTGCAAGGAGAGTTTGAGGACTTGTTTAAGACAGTGGAACCTAAGGAAGACTTTGCAGACACTTTAAACTAACTCCCTGAAGAGTGCTTACAAAAACGATTTGCTGTTTCTTTCCAGCCGATGATACAACTAATAAACAACTATAAAGCTACACCCTGCAGCTCTGTAGGTTCCAGCAGAAACTCAGGACTGTCTTTTACAGCACATTTTTTTCAATGAAAACAGGGAAAACAAAGGTCCCATGCTGAGAAGCCACAAGAACTCCTGAAATGAGTAACACAAATGCTGGCATTAAGTCATGTAGACATAATACATTAGCAAGGATACTGCCACCTTCAGGAAATGTTGGTAGTTACCCTGATGTCCCTCCAGTCTTCTACAAACTTTTCTATTAATCTCTTTTCTTGCATTGCCACATGCCAGCAGTCCCACTGAGGAGTGCACCCAAAAGAACTAAAACTATCCTGGTTACTGAAAGTACTACTTAAACTCACTAGTAACTACAGCAATCCCCAAAACCAACACAATGACTAATGTTAAGCACTATTAAGATATTTCAAAACCTACATTATTAATTTTTCTTTATGTAACCAAACAATCTATAGTTTGCCCAATTTAAGGCACAGTAAAGAAGACAAATGAAAAGCTCTGAGCAGAGAAGAGTCAGAAGTGTTTTTTTCCCATACCACTAGTGACAGAAATATAGGAGTAGAATTTCCAAAATTTCATTTTTACAAGAATTTAACACTGAAACTAAAACCTAGTCTGCAAAGGTCTGCAAAAAGCATGCAGAAGATATGAAGGATACAGGAACTAAGAACAATGAGGTCCACTGTAATAAAGGACAGCAACAAGCAAGGCTGGCAACAATGTTAAGGAAAGTCAATCAGATTATATTACAAATTCAGAAGACAAAAATTCACATTAAACTGAAACCATCAAAGTGACCAAAAATTCCCAAGAGAAGAAACAAGGAGTAAAGAAATAAATGAGACAATTCCATGGATTAACTAAAAAATTACTCTGCCACAGGGTTCAGTACTGATTATATAGAAAAAGCCAAATGGATATAATGTAAGAATATTTTAAGCATTTAATAGTAAATTTCTAGACTGACCAATACTACAAAGTCAATCTCATTCCTCTGACTTCTTTACCTAAATTAACCTAATTTAATGGACTTTCATAAAGACCTGACAGACCACTTAAGAACAAACTAGTGCCAAACAGCTGAGATGGAAATACAAGTTTCAGTCAACACTCATGCTCTGGAACAGGTTTAACCCCTTTGATTTAAACTACAGTTAAATCCCACTTTGGGTGGTACAGTTTCAAAATGTTGTATGCAAAACATGGATGACAAAAACTTTTATGATTTATACACATTATAGTAAATGCCTTCCATGAGAACGGTGCAATGAAAGAATGAGAAGAAAAAAACAGTGCAGTGACAAGTCTGTATGAAGTTTCAAGAAACCAAACTCCATGAGGAACATGCTATTTGCAAAAACTCAGCAGTATCTTATAAACAATGAATATAATTTAATTCAGCAGCGTTTTGTTGACGTGCTCTGTGGGCTAATTTAAAAGCCAGGTCAAATATGTTACAGACATGACTTGATGGGAAGCAAGGCACATGGAACCAAGCGGGAAGCAGCGTCACTACTGCACTTAGGGCCTTGTTCTCGTACTTCACACACACTGTCTTCTACGGTAACGAACTGGAGAAGCAACTCACCACTGCTGCACTGAGCCTGCCTCTGATTAAGGGAAGACTGCTCTGCAGAAAAATCTGCTGTTCTTCAGCCTGCAGGAAGAAAACAACCACCTCGAATAAAGGCCAGGCCGTGCCCCTTCCCGCAATAAACAAGTTCTGTCAAGTTAACGCCTCATCTCCCTCCCATGCCTTCCATTAATTCTATCCTGACTCAAAACGGATTCAAGGAGAAAGCGGGAAACTGTTCCCTGGAATTAGGCAACAGTTATTTCCTTCCACCTCCGAGCAGGCCCTTTGCTGCTGCCAGTACAATAGGTAAGGAAGGCCCCGCTGCCTTAACCCGGGGGCGGTGCCCCAGAGCCGGCACCGTGGCGGGCACTCCACGCCGGTGCCGCGTCGGCTCGAGCACCTCAAACAGGGGCACAGCCGGCGGAGCAGCAGCGCCGCCCGCAGCAGCAGAGTCCCGAGGCTGCGTGCCCCGAGCGCTGCCTCGCTGGAAGCCGCCAGCGCCTTTCTCCCCCTCGCCGTCCCCCCCCAGCCTCCCACGAAC